GATTTTTTTTTTTTGGCAGCAGAAGAACCATGCAGTGATGATAACCACAATGTTTAATGGCATTCTTTCACAGGGACAAGGACATCTTTGTCATCAAGGAAAAGCTAAAGAAGCCCAAAATGGGTCTAGCCTGAGTCCTTTAGAGTTTATCTTCAGTGGTGCTGTATGCTGCTTCAGCGAGGCTATTAATTTGTCTAGTTTTGTTGTAGTTTGCCGTGTCTCTGTATGAGCAGGTCCTCCTTATCAGTGTTAAACACAGCACTTCTGTTGTTGTGTTTTCTCAGCGTCCTGCAGCCTCAGTCACCATCAGGCCCATGACAAGAATAATGAGCGGAATGTCTGCTTCCATCAAAAGTTAAACAAGAAAAAAAAACTTTAATGTTGTTGTTTATTTGTGATGGAGCCGCTGGCAGTGTGATTCTCTCATTATCTCCTCATCAGCAGTGGGTGAATGTAAATGCAGATAGAAGTGAGGGCACAGAAATACATTCCTCTTCTCGCTGTTAGTGTTGTGAGTATAATCATTCCTGACAAGCTATTCAAAAATAGATGCAAGTGTTTTCTTCTCACATACATTGCTTGAAATAGTCCAACATTATTTTTATCAATGAAAATATCTTATGAATTATTTTGCCAGATTGTCAAGAACGCCATTAAAAACAGACTGCCGTTTAAAATGGTGTTGTATCGCCATCTACAGATCACTGTAGGGTAATTCTCCCTAAAATGCCCTTAATAAAGACTTACTGTATATACACTCTTTGTCCAAAATTATCCAGACACCCTTCTTAAATAGTGAATTCAGCTACTTTAAAGTGCTCCAACTTGCTGACACAGGTGTTCAATTGCACACACACCGTTTGTATAATCTCCGTAGATAAGGTCTTCGTGCAGAATGCCACACATTGGCTAGAGGGGTATAAAGACTCCATCACTGGGCTTTGAAGCAGTGGAAATGCCTCTGTCACATCCTCACAGCGATGTTCCAACATCTAGCATAAATCAGAATCAGAATCACCTGTATTTCACTAGGTATGTTACACATACAAGGAAGTTGTCTTGGTGAGTGCATACATGTAGGACATGTAACACACTAAACAGACTGTGAACACTGAGAGAACACAACTATAGAAGTGCAGAAGCTGACTAAACTCCTTATTCATAGCCTTGGTTTCATAAGATGAGCAGATGTCTAAACATTTTTGGTCATATAGTGAATAAATGAGGATATGTAAACAATAACACACATAGACATACAAGGTATTGTTTGAAAGATTAATTTCTGTTTTAATCAGTATTTAAGGAGCTGTTACATTGGTAAATATCAGCCCTACTAAATCAGCTCAAAGTAGTGCATGATGTCAGTAGACTGAAGTCTGAACTTCAGAATGTGACATTGTGCATTCTCATCATTACACAACATCACATTATCAAATGTGACATTGTGTAATCTTTGTTCATTTGTCCTTCAACGAATGTCTTCATAAGGCCTTCTAACGGAATTCAGATAAACATCAGTTTTTTGTTTATCCCAAACCATGTTTATTATCACAACTATGCTTTATCAGACACTGAAGCTGATAAACAGTGCATATTTTTAGCTTAGACAGAGTGACAGAAGCTTAAAATAAAAATCTCTGTCAGGCTGTAATTCAGTTTGTGGCCTGTTTATGTTTTAAACAGCTATCGTGTTTAAGCATATGCCTGTCCTAACTTTCAACCACTGTTCGTTTCTGCTCAAACCTCTTCTCCTGCTTTGAATGAAATACATTTACTTAGTGGAAACATAGTTTATTGCTATTACCATGTATATTAATTGAAATTAATTATTGTGTCCTGGTGTATTTTGTCATATTGTAGTATGTATAACATGCTGCAGTTTTGTAACAGTGATAAGCCACCTAAAGGGCCCATATACTATATTCTTCTTGTATTTTTTTTCCCTTCCTTAAAGCCATCTTATACATTTGTGTGGTTTTATTTACATTTTTACATTTTCCAACCTCTCTTTATCCCTTAGAATTAAACAGGCTGTTTTTTGCAGTGCTTCTAAGACTCATATTTGTATTTGAGCTTTGTTCTGATTGGCTGCCCTGTATTGTGTCTCATTCAAAAAGCACTCAGAGCTGAAACACTGATTATAGCTTCAATATAAATGGGCGTAGCTAAACTGCTGCAGACTGGATGGATGTAAATGAGCTGGTTCTCGTGGCATCACAGAAACAATGAATTCTAAACAGGCTTTTTTTGCAGCATTTCCATATTTGGACCCCACAGACAGGGTGGAGAATGGTACGTTTTGAAACAATGTATACATTGTACTTCAAAATATGCTATTTAAAAAAAATTACAAAAAATTGTTTTCCATGATATGGGTCATTTAAGCCATTTAAACCATGATATCCATAGTTTAGGGGTATTGTCAGGCTACTGTTACCTGAAGCCTAATTCACTGACTGTGATAAGATCACTGTAGTGGCTTTAATATCACTTCCTCAACAAAAACCCACAACAGAACTCTCTTTGCAACACTATTGATATATCAGGACAAAGTTACCATAAAACCAAGTGTGAGTCAAACTGCAATGTCTTGTATTTGCAGAATTAAATTTTGTAATGTATGGCTTTAGTGCATTCACTGTTTGTGCAGGTATGGGTCTCCAACACCATAAAAAGATTTTAGCCAGTGGTTAAATGCTAAAATCTCTGAGTTTTGATTTGTTTGTTTCACTTCTTTAAAAATAATTTATGAAAAATGCATATTTTACATAATAATTATATGTAATTCAAAATCAAGACTTCTCTCATCTCATTTTTTTTTCTTTGTTTGTTTGTTTGTTTCCCATGCTATGTGAAGCGACCTTGGGTTTGTGAAAGGCGCTATATAAATGAAACTTATTGTTATTATTATTCAAACGCAATACAATTTCTCCTCATACATCATACCCAGCACTGCTTTGCTCATCACTGTCTTGCTGAGTTTCTCCATCCATATGATTCTAGACACACTGAGGTCCTACAGTTCGATCTCTAAATAGGAACTGTCCTCAGTGGGTAACACAAGTCAAGTCAAGTCAAGTCAAATTTATTTGTATAGCGCTTTTTACAACTGATGTTGTCACAAAGCAGCTTCACAGAAATCCATTAAGGACAAAGTTTTAACATGAAATGTAAATCCTCCAAGTGAGCAAGCCAGTGGCGACAGTGGCAAGGAAAAACTCCCTCAGAGCTGAGGAAGAAACCTTGGGAGGAACCAAGGCTCACATGGGGGGACCCATCCTCCTCTGGTCACAACATTCAGGCTTACTATTTTATCTTTTAAAACAGACAAAAACTCTTTCAGCAGCTCTATCTCACTCCATCTTGGCACCGACATCACACTGATTATATGATACTTTACATCTGCTGGTTTTGTGTCTGCTCTCATTTTTCACTTTCATCTGTTCTCCTTTAGCACACTCGGAGATTCTGAGATGCCTTCTGTTATATTAATGCCCTCTGTGATTTTGAGTGTAATAGGTAATACTAATATGGTAATATTTTGTTGTTGTAACAAAACCTTGTATCTCTGAAACTTTACAGAAGAATGAAATAATGTTATTAGATTTAATATCAATTATAAAAGGTAATGCACAAAATTTAATTTTTAAATTTCGGACCATTTTTATTGGCCCATTGATCATGAAATGTTCACACAATGTAGGGCTAAAAGGCTAGTTGTCATTTCAAATGAAGTAAAAAGAATAGCATAAGAGTTTTGACATTACAGTGATTATTATTATTAGTAGTAGTAGTGGTTGTAGTAGTGGTTGTAGTTGTAGTAGTAGTAGTTTTCTCTTTCTGAAAAAGCCTAAGACTCCTTTAACTAATAAACAGATACCATTTTGACCACATGTGAAGCTCAGCTGTGTGCTGATGGATTTGGTGTAAGTATGAGTGCTACTCAAGGAATCTTGAGAGGATCAGGGCGTGTGTGCCAAATGTTCCAAATGTAATGGTCTTAAACGCTATAGCATTAACATGTGTCGGAGTGTTATTGCCTGTGCAAAACTGGACAAGGAAGAAAAATCAGCACCATGGCTATGTCTATAAAGACCTTGCATGGTTTCAACGGACTGAGTGAATTATAATGCTGTATATAGGTATTTTAACATGTAACATTATTTGTGATATTTGTTTAAGCAGTCTGCCTATACACTGTGTGTGTGTGTGTGTGTGTGTGTGTGTGTGTGTGTGTGTGTGTAAGTATTTGACCTTTTGACCTATTTGACTCATTCAGAAAGTTTCAGCAGGCACAGACAAGCACGCAAATAGATACTTGCTGTGGAAGAAATGAAATCAGCTTATAAGTAGAAAAAATAAAAGAACATTCAATCAAAGTAATAATAATTATAATTCAATCCATAACTGGTGAAGTAAAAACTCATCAGAGCTGAACCAGCCAGGCTGCAAAGCAAAAGCCTGTGAACAGAGGACATGAAAATATTATTCTATAAAACCTTTTAGGAAATAAAGCAAACGAAAGTAAAGTTTTTTGCTATCTGGCTAATTCATCAACTATACTATTCGGTTTGACAGCCAGTTCAGGTTAGGGTTATAGCACTAATGCTAGCTAGGCTAGAGGCTAATAACGTATTTACTGGGCTCTAGCCAAGGTTTGTTGAGCCTCCAACTGCTGAAGATGTAATTGCGTAATGCTTGCTGGTTATTATAGAGAGCAAATATTGATAGACAAAAACAACACAAAATCATGAATTCTGAATCAATAACGTTGGAGGATGTGATGCTGGACAACGGAATGTTACATAACATATATTAATAATAACAACTTTTTAAAACTTTCAATGTGAAGAGACCAAATTCAAGGTTTCCTAGCCCAACACTTCAGTTTACTCCAGCTCTCCGTACTCCGGCTCATTCAGAGTCCCACTTGTTGCGTGTGAATGAACTGCCTCCCGAACTCCGCCCTGTAGCCCCGCCCACTGCAGGCTCATGGTGGACTCGCGGGCTTTCACATCACCTCCTGCCTTTCTTCACTTGCTCTCCTGTAGCGAGTTGTTGGTGTCCTCCTTTCTCTAACATGAGTGATTATTAAGTTACTGTGCTCGGCGAAGGCGCGCAAAACCGCTCCAGTGTGTGACCACGGAGTGAGGGAGAAGTATGAGATCAATAGTCTGAACCCGCTTCACCTCGACGAAGAAGAAGAATCGATCAGATCGGTAATCGGTGAGTGTTAGATGTGTTAGCAGGCTTCCATCCTGAGGAGGCTGATAGAGGCGCCTTGTCCCGAGATGCACTTCTTATGCGAGGTTGAGCTGCTCTTTCCGTGTCATAAAGAAATCCGTAGGTTAAAAGCGAGCCTGTGTTATTCCCTCGACTTACTTGCTGTAGTTTTCTCACGTTTGCGTAAAAGTGACTTAGGTTAATGTTTTTAGTTTGTTATTGTTGGGAGCCATGATGCTGACAGCATTCCTCTACATCATCCTGTTGACCTTGTAGGGCACAGACTCATAGTACTGGGCTTAAAAGAAGCTTGTCCACAACTTTTTTGTGCAGACCATGTAAAACAGTGAAGAGTTATAAAAATCTAATTCTCATAAATATCATATTTTTCAATCGTGTGACTGTGGCTGTCTAATGGAAATACTCCCTGGTGGTTGTTTGTGACAGTACTAGATAAGCTGAAGAGTCTGTTAAAATGTTCTCAAAGATTGTATGTAAATAGTAATTTAGACTCATTTAGCTGAATAATATGAATGTAAACACCACCAATTCCATCCACAGTAGAGTCTGCATGCTTAATTGCATTATCTTACTTAACCCACTTGAGTAGTTTCCCATGACTGTGGCCTGCACTATCACAGGACTGCAGTCCTCAACGCAATAAAGGTCCAGATCTATACAAAGTGCCAAGCCGAATCCTTAACTGAGGTTCAGGAGGCATTATGGAGTAAGTACAGTGCTGGGCTGTATTAAAACAGCAAGCAGAAAGCTACTTGTGAATCAACAGCAGTGGGAGTGAGTACTGTTGCCCATCTTGCGTGGCTTATATGCCCATAGTTGACAGATGGCAAGCAGATCTGTGTGACGTTTTCATTCATGCTGATTATGAAAAGTTCATGTAGTCAGTGTATAATGTATCAGTTTGCTAACTAGTAAAGACAGAAATGTTTCTTTGTTTTTTATTTTTAAGAAATAGAAAGTTACAATCACATAAATTGTCATCTATCCACATTTTTAACCTCCATCGATTACCACTGACAGTAATTTCAGCACGTGTCTTTGTACTAAGAAATGAACTGAAAGCCAGTCAATGTGAAAGTGACTTATGATAGACGCCGATGGGCAGATGCTGGCTTTTACTGTAAGTGTCTTTTGAGTCAGCAGGTTTTTTTCTATGTACAGGAAAATTATTGACGGTGTGCTACAGATGTCGCAGATAAGGTTGAAAATATTGTGGTATTCCTTTGAATTTAGACGGCATCTCTTCAAAAAGCAAATGCAATTTTTTTATAGAAATGTGATGCAATGTGGTAAACCTTTTTTGGGGCTCATGAGCTGGTGTCAGATGTGAGTGGGACTGAGCTGCGATGTGGCAGGGAGGGGCACCGCCTGGTTATGTGTGAGCAGTATGGCCTGAGTCAGAAATCTACAGCACACTCATTGACTATGCATGCATGTGTTAGGGAGGCAGCTGTTGTCATCTTCACATGCATCAGCAGCATCAGATGTTATTAACAGGCTCTTATTCTGCTGGTGAATTGCTTCGATACCTGGCTCCATCACTCACTGCGATGTTCAAGCCTATGTTGTGTAGGCCTTAGACGTCAATATTTTTTTTTTCTTAAAGATAAGAAGGGCATAGCGTCTCGTTTTCACGCTGTTGGGGAACACAGTTGTGCAGAGGTTAGGCAGGAAGTTTGAAGACTGCAGACCAAAGGAAGTGAGCTCGGCTGCATAGGAGCTCTATGCGGCTTTCAGTATGACACACAAGCATCTTTTTGAGTCAGCACAGACACATGCTGTGTAAACATCACCCTTTTAAGAGGCTTCTTAAAATCTACATGCTTACTTTCTTTCATGTCACATATGAGAAAGTTCTGTTCAGAGCATGTTGTCTCATTTTCATTGACTTGTGTTTCTCCTTCATCCTCTCTATAGTTCTTTTCTTATCTGGCGGCCTTCACTTACACCGCATGATGGGATCTTTTCGGCGTCCCAGGCCGCGCTTCATGAGCTCACCGGTACTGTCGGACCTGGCCCGCTTTCACGCCAGCTCACCGACTCTGCAGCTCTCTAATGCAAGTGTCTGGAACAGGTGGGTGATAACGCCTTCAGACATACTAATATTTAAAATGCTGAAAGACATGTTAAAAAATGTTATGAAAATTTTGCTTTAAACTGAGATTGACAAGTAATACACGAAACAAATTGAAGAACGCTTAATCGTGGAAAGAAGTATCACTAGAATTTTGGCGGAACATCTATGTTCATGATAGTTAGCCATAATCGGAATCTGCATGTTCTGTATTGTCGCTGTCACATCAAAACATTTTGTTGTTGTTGTTGTTGTTTGTTTTGTTTTGTTTTTTGCACCATTGGAAAATGCCAGCTACTCTGTGTAAAAATCACATGATGAATGGACCAAAAGAAATGGCTTTTTGAAAGCAAATATATTCTGTCCATAAAACATAAAATCCATATCTATGCCATTTTTATATGACTGGGACTAGTGCTGCCTGTGCACGTGTATATGTGGAAAAAAGCAAGTGACAGAAAAGAAAGTAGACCACTGTCTTTTGCCCTCTTTATTTCCGTCTAGAAACAGGGCTGCTGCTGCCCCTCTTTCAGGAAGTGTGGAGCAGGATGTTATTCAGATGTGGTGGGCTCAGGGCCGAACAGGGAATGTTAGCAAGCTTCAAAATTTTGACTTAGGAAACGGAAATGTACATATACACATTTAGTCAGCAACAGAGAGAGAATTGGCATTTGGTTGAGTTGCTTTACATACTTTTTGGGAAGCTTCTGAAGTCTGTTCATGACTATGCAAATTCAACAGCTTTTTTTTACCCTGGAATTTCCATATTAACAAACTGTAACCGTAAAAGCATGCTCAGTTTCCTTCCTTTTCTAGAGGCTGATTCATTTGATATGTTTTGCAGTGTCCAGACTGCTGTCATCAAAGTATTCCAAGGAGGAGGGCTTCAGGCCAATGAGCTGTACAGTTTAAACGAAAGCATCAGGTAGGAAATACTAGACAGCTTAAAAATATGAGCCCATTAAAATCAACTTAAAATCAAAATGGACATTTTTTAAAATTGCTAGTTCATGTCTCTAGTCACGTTAAGCATGTTTCATCATACCATACCATTTAAATGACAAAATTCTTGTTTTTTTTTCTATATTCAATATTTGATTGAAGTTTAGTGACCTTTGCTTACCTCTAAAACATTTCTGAGGTTTGATTATGTTACCATGTACCAGCAAGTAGGGGAAAAAAAAAACTTTACTAGTGATATCTTGTTTAAAAAAAAAAAAAAAGAACACTTATCATAGGGTGAAAATGCTCAGCCAGCTCCCTGGTACCATGTTTCATGGTGTGGAGCAAAATGCATTGCGATTTTTAATTCTCTTTGACAGCTAAAGTGGCACATTATAGTTTTAAGTTTTAATTTGGGACATTCGGGGCCAGAAAGTCTGGCCAATTTGTGTAAAAGTTTTATTCACTAAATATAGTTAAACTGTTCCAGGCCCAACTTACCCAAAAAACCAAGATCTTTATTTTAAAACAGTTTTAGAGAGTTTTCAATGCTATACAGTGGCCTCAACTCATTACATTTTTGTGTTCTCAGGTGGCTTCAGAGGACAGAATTGGGTTCCTTCATCACAGAGTACTTTCAGGTGACGTGTCATGACTGCAAAGACAGTCAGAAGAAGAGTACCAGAAATAAAAGCACTGAACCAGCAACTGACTGGTGCTCAGTTAGCATCTGCTTGTACGAAACAATAAGAATATCTAGATGCTTCAAAGTGTCACAAACTAACATTAAAAAAACATAAAAAATGTGTTGCATGTTTTATTTACAACACTTTGTTTTAACATTATTTCACTTTTTTTTACATAGGATCAGCTGTTAAACAAAGGCCTGGCATGTATATTGGAGAAAATTCAGCTTCACGAGGGTCAGTACATGCACATTGTTGTGCTATAAGGCTTGTTTCTGCATAGTAGACCAAGACGCTTTAGGTGTGGCCTAAGAAAATTGTATACATTTCAATGTTAAATACCTTCAGGCCCGTACATGCTCTGGTTTGTAGTTGTGTGTAATGTGAGACTCTGTCTTTCTGTTTTTTTCTGCTCAGATGAAAACTGGCTCCAAGCTTTGTCTGAGATGTGGGTAGCATTTTTTACTGAAATCCTGCCAACACTTCAAGCCATATTCTATCCTGTACAGGTAACTGAGCAGTGTCACTCACCATGTATGTGGTCAGGTGGTGCCAGTTCACGGACAATGTGACTGATTGTTTTGAGTTTGTATGTGCGTGCGCTCATGTGCAGGGCCAAGAGCTGACAGTGAGGCAGATGGCTTTGCTCGGTTTTAGGGACCTGGTTTTGCTGAAACTTCCTCTGGAGAAAAAGCTGCATACTGCCTCTTATCCTCCTGCTATAATGCAGATGCTGCTTATACTACAGGTGAGGATTTCCGTATACTACACCTGAATTCACTTATAGACTAATGACCATTGTTCTTCCTGCAAAATATTTTTATGAAAGCAGCAAGATATTTGATTGATATTAACATGCAGTTGAGAGCCATGAAACACTCTTGATGGTCTGTGAACAGACAGTTTACCAGGCTTAGATTAAGCCTGTTCCTAGACTAAAAAGAATGTCCCGTGGTTCATTTTCTTGAAGAATTGATTCACCATTGGCACTGCAGTTTAGCCCAAGACCATGCTTAATCTGTGTCTGGGGAACCGGTCCATGTTTTTTTGCAGAAGTAAAGAGTTACAATAAATTAGATTGCTAGTAAAAATTATCTACAAATTACATGCATGTAAGTGGCCCCCATAATTCGTTGCAAACCTTACTTAAAGGTCACTACCATTGTTACTGCATATCCTGTTAATTCAATCATCTTTGTAAAAGTGTCTGGGTATCCAGGTCTTTTGTAAAATATATTGTTACAAATGCCTCAGGCACACTGGCCAGGATGAATGGATGAATGAGTCACTTCACAGTTTCACACATGAGAAGTTTAGACTGTACTATAAGCCATAAACTAGTTGCTGGTTTCACACTGTTTGTTACTTTAGATCTTAAACATAAGAATGGATTCATAAATGAGGTACAGACTCTAATGAATGTGCGTTCTCTAAATACAGGGCATTCATGAGCCTGGTGGGCCTAGTAAAGAGTACTACCTTCTGGAGAGACTGGTGGACATGGTGATTTCACCCTACCTGAGTAACTATCTCTACATGAGCCACAGGGACACCACTTCAGGTGAGCTTTCACTTTTGACTTGCCAGCTTTATAACAAGACTTCATGTTCTTTGTAAAACTGACCAGTCCTTCTTACTTTCACACCAGACTGTCATTTGGAACAATCCAAGTTAACATCCTCGCCACACTATGGACAGCCAGAGATCACAGTCACACACTTTGCTCCAGAGTCGTTGCTGGCTCCACTTGTAGAGCACGAAGGTGAGGCCTATCTGGAGAGGACTGGGGGCGTACGACGGCACACGGTTGCTAACGTTCAGTCAGACATCCAGCTTCTCTCCGTCACAAACAAAATGCACACTGGCGAAGCTGATGGCAGTGGGAATGGCCAAGGGACTAAATCCGGCAGATGTGGTTCTCCCAGGCCGCGATCAGCTGCATCAGAATCTCTGAGGCGACAGAGCCCTGCTCACATGAGCTGTGAACTGGCCAGTTGATGTGTCCTAGAGGACAAGGGAGTACCCTAAATATGCCTGCCATTGTGCCCTAGATCAAAAGCCCATGCGGTCTGCTATTTACTCACAGTATGTGGCCTGCACTAAAAGAAAAATCAGCATCATTCACACCATACAAGGAAGCATCAGAAGTCATCCCTCCCCAAGACTGACCATGACTGCAGGTACTTTGTTAGTCACATTAGTGGCGTCATGTGGAGCACCACAGCAGTTTGTGTGCAGCATGACGCCATAATGACCGCTGACATGTGTCCAGTGGAAAAACACTTGCTGTACAACATACAGTGGAGTTGTATGTAAAACAGTGTGTGAATAAGTGGATTGTACGGGTGTTTTAAGTGTACGTTTCTGGACATAAATTTGCACATTTACTCATTTTCTCATGAAGTACTGAACAGTGAACAGCACATATTTTCACCCACAGCAAAATCTGCTCAAAAGTTACTGCAGCAATTTTTCATGAATGATGGCTTATTATATTATATAACTAACGAGTTATTGTTCAATACAGTTGTTTATCCACTTTTAAAGCATGGGGTAAAAGGAATGCATAAAGAGCTAAAAAGGACCTGTTCTTAGCTCAGTCACCACCTATGCAGTTCTCTAAGAAGCATGCTTTTTTTCTGCTGTGGAAGTCGCAAAGCTGTGTGGAATTTCAGCCCTGCTGAGCTACCAGAGTTTACATAGCTGCAGTAAGGCAGGGGTGCACAACTTGTGCTGGCTGGCCAGAGTTCAGCACAGTTTGGTGGTTTCCCTTCTGTAACACAACTTCTAAACTTTATTATGAATGGTTCAGTCCTTGAAGTGAATGTTGCTAACAATGCGTTAAAGTTAATATCTACCATTGTACAATAGCGTTGTTAAAATTACATCATGCTAATATTGGCTAACAGTGACTAGCAACATTAGCTAGTATGACTGAGCCATTTTTCTTTAACTGATGAGTTAAATCAGGTGTGTTTTGTGCAGAAAAAATGCCAAAATGGACTAGACTGGAGTTGTGCACCTCTACAGTGAAGTCTTAGTCAAAACCTTACTGAGCCCTCAGCTGTATGGGATTAAGGACTTAAGTGCACTGCCTTACACTTTCTGGTTTCGAGCCATTTTATATTCTATTTACTGTTTCTTTGTAGTGGAGAGGCACAGAAATAGTAGCTCCTAGGGAAATTTAGTGATTTTATTTCAGGACATATTTAGTGTTTGATTAGTGCTTGATAATTACATGTGAGTGTTTTATGATGAATATGATGTATAGTATTACAATTTTACAGTTATTAAGTACAAAATAATAAAGCATTTCGTTGAGCAATTTTGTAGATTTCTTGGCTGATTAGGATTTCATTGGGCAGAAGTCTATAATGCAAACTGTATTGCTGATTCTTTATGTAATGCAATCTTGATCCATCGTCTTTAATGCACATCTCCTTTCTGGTAGTTGTTATAGAACCTAGCAGTGGATCACTGGTTTTGATAAGACACAAGTGGGGGCTGTTTTCTTCAGGGCTACAACCAAACCTTGTTCGATGTAGTGTTCCTAGAATAGATAAGGAGTTAAGAAGCTTTAGTGGCCTTATTTGAATGCTGATCCCCTCCAGGGAAAACCTTTGTGCGGCACTGTTGAGGAATCTGACCCTTCTGAGGGGGTGAAGGTGCTGTTCAAGGACGTTAGACCCATAGGTAAGAGTGCTAGAGGCTTATTTGGTTCTGTGTAATGTGCAATAAATATGAAAATGGAGGACAGAATTTATTCTATTAAGAACAGTAAATGCCAAATGCACTCAATATCAAATGATGACTTATAAACTAGGGGTGTAACTTGGGCTGCACAATAAATTGGATTTTTATCGTCATCACTGTATGGGTTTCTATGATAAACACATCGGTAAGAGCTGCAGTGACAGAATAGATCAAATTATCTTACACACAGTGCCAGGAAGTCATTACATTACCACGTCACAAACCGTTAGAAGCCTAATGAGTGCTTCTCTGCGCTGGGAGTGAACCCCTAATGTGGGGGACGAATACCTTTTACCATTCAGCTAAACGGCCACTTACAAAACTCGCACATCCCCAGCTCGAATACTACTCCATCCTGAACTAGGCTGTCAAAACACATTAAATTTTAGGACTGTTCTCAGTATTGTGTTTTAGGTGTATGAGACAGTAATGGCTTCTGTCACAACAAACATGTTTTTGTGTGCCTATATAAAAAATATAAATACATATTTATTTGTTTTTGTAACCTTTATAAAAAAAACTGTTGAGGTTAATGCCTCACTGTTCCTCAGCCTTTCAGTGCACAAAACAAATGTGCAGTTCTGATGGAAGTAGCTGTTAGTATTTTATTTTGCACAATAGTAAATGTTTCTTTAATAATTTTATATTTAGCCATTTGCTTAAAGGAGAAGTTAGATTTCTGTCTACACATCTAAAAATAAACACATCTGTACTTGCGTCACATTAAATCAGAGGCACAAATTTTGTTTATAATCATTTGTCATATTGTCTTTGTGATATACAACAGCTTTATCGAACATCACACTTCATGCCCATATCGTACAACCCTGGTGTAACTAGATATTTTCAGGTTTAATGCGATTTTCTATTCTGAGGTAAAGCTTTGACTGAAAAAATATTGAATGTGAATTTTGAAAAATATTTTTTATGTTTAAAATGTCTTGATGACTTAGAAACCCCACAGATTAGCTTAGAAAAATACAATTTTTATTTCTAAACAAAGTCTTGCAACGACATGTCCTTGGGCGAAAATAGTGATTTTTTAAAACTAAAACTGAGCTACAAACAATACAAAATCTGAACTGCATCTCATAGAACCTATAAAGCATGTCTCTATTTTTCATTTAGTGTATTTAGAATAAGCCACTCCTCCTGTCCTCCCGCTTTTTACTGATGATGCTTAGTTTTGATCACTGACAGTGGTTTTCATTAAAGACTGCAAATTAGAGACCAGCTTGAGGGCAAAAATACTGTTTTATCAATTATATTTTAATACACTTTGAATGTACAGTCTTTCAACACTGTGCTGAAATTGTTACATCCTTATTAAAGACTGTAAATGCAGAGCGGTTGGACAAAACAAATAGATGTAAAATGTACAATATTTGCATGCATACACAGTTGTGTGAAAAAGTTTGGGTACGGCCGGTCCAAATACATTTTGTTGATTGACTAAAATAAGTGAACACATCCTCTACAGAAAACACACTTCAGCACATTTTAATGCACAGTTACTGTTTATTTGCTGAATTTAGTGGGGAAAATGTAAACGTAAAATGTGCCCTATGTAAAATGTATGACGCATTTTAAATTTTACATTTTTCAAATATGTTAAAAAAAACAGAAATATTGAAAACCTGCCATATATATTTACGTTTGTTCCCTGTAGAGGACTACAACGTGAAAATCAACAAAACATGTCATTTGACCGGGATGTTCCAACTTTAAGTAACTTTGAGTAAAACATTCGGATGTGCTGCGACCGAGATGTGATCACGTTGTTTAGAAATTGTTCATGTGACCACATTCGTAGTATTCTTTTTGTATAAAAACAATGATATAACTAAAGAGATAACACAGTTCTACTCAACACCATAACTCTTAATGTTCTAGAACCCATTATACTGTAGTTTCACCAAACTTACTGATAGAAAAGAAGGACTAATACCCAGGACCTGGCCTGAAGGCCCCAAAATACCTAAAGTTCACAAGCATGCACATTTGAATGCCTGCATTCTGCTTAACAAAACCTGATGGGCGTGCACTTACACAGGCAGAAAAAAATAGTGTTTAAGATGTCACATTGAGTTATACTGTAAGAATTTGAAGCGTTCAGCAAAACAATGTTGGACCCACAAACTTTCCATTAGTTAGCTATATTGCATCTCTAAATCTTCTCATCACTTGGAAACACTTATCATCACTTGGCAATGAAAATATTTCCCTTACTCTATAAATGGTTTCTGAAAATAAGCAGTCAATATATTTCACTGAATTCATATAAAAGAAATGTCACTGGGTATTTTCTTGTTTTCCCTACATTGTCAGCTATTGCTACAAACACAATATGTCCAAAAATTTTAGACACCTGCTCATTCAGTGTTCCTTCTGCGAGCAAGGGTATTAATAGAGAGTTTGTCCCCTCTTTACTGCAGTACCAGCCTCTACTCTTCTAGGAAAACCTTACACTAGATGTTGGAACATTGCTATGAGGGTTTGATTGCATTCAGCCACAAGAACATTAGTGAGGTCAGGTTCTGGTTTTCGATGACTAGTTCTGGATAACAAACTCCACTCCAACTCATCTCAAAGGTGTTGGATGGAGCTCCATCACTCCAAAGAACACAGTTCCACTGCTCCACAGCTCAATGCTGGGGAACTTTATAGCCCATAGTCAACACTTGGCATTGAGCATTGTGACTTTTGGCTTATGTGTAGTTGTGTAGCATCCCATTCTATTGGTAATGCTTTTCTGTAGAGATTTTACAAGTTGTGTGAGTGCAGTTGAACGGCTGTGTCAGCAATGGAGCACCTCAGAGCAGCTGAATGCACTAATTAGGAGGGGTGTCTGGATACTTTAGGACATATAATGTATTCACATACTATTTTATCCAATAAAGAAGGTTAATGTGATAGTAATTGTGACAATAATTTTATTCATGTTATAGTGAATAATCTGCAGATTACTAGAGATGGTCAAAATAGTCAAAACAGTACTCAGAATAATGAATGAATGAATGAATGAATGAATGAATTCATTAAATAATTAATAGAATAGAACAATTGAGAAGGCAGCAAGCTGTGCATTTTTCTGTCACAAGTAATCTATAACAGTGTAAATCTACATAAATTTACTATAAATAAAAATACTAACCTTCACTGTTTGGTGTTACAGTGACATGACATTGAGGAACAAACAATAAAACAAAGTTATTTTAGTTCTGTGAGTGGTCTGCCCAATATAACTGAACAAACCGTTAAAGATCAAGAGAACACGAAGACAGATTATAAAAATATCCAAAACTTTACTTTGAACATCAAAAAGGAAACACATTAGAATATGCATCATAGTATTTGTTATTATGATTTACTTTTTCTACCTGTTTGTGTTAGTTTCAGGGGTGATGACTTTTATAACTGCCTATTACTGTAAAATTTTAGACTCCTTTAGACAAATCACTGAGTTTCAAAATATGGCAATGATATCTTAATGTCTGCTGTAGTTTATCTTCACTTTTCCTCTGTTTTGTGTACCTCTCAGTGATCCGCTTGACCTGCTATAAAACACACCGCACGTTCTTATCAGGCTGCACTACTAGACAGCTACACTAGGCGGAGCACTGCGGCAGCAGCACCGTGAGAGACTTTTTAGCTTTTAATCCAAATTACGGTTTCGGAACTTAAATCTGGCCCTGTGATGGACTGGCGACCTGTCCAGGGTGTATCCTGCCTTTCGCCCAATGACAGCTGGGATAGACTCCAGCACCCCACCGCGACCCAGAAGGATAAGCGGTTTAGATGATGGATGGATGGATGGAACTTAAATCTGAACAAGTGAAACTGTTACTAGAGAAAACATGACATTTGGTGTATAAAAAGGAATTGGGTTCGGTCAAAATTGAACTGTTACTTGAGAACAGTGAATTAAAACGTGCTAAAATTGAGCGCGTACTAAGAAAAATCGTTCTTTATTTAAACATGAGTGGAAAAAATCAATGAATTCTTACTACTGGGAAATATTTTTTTTTTTACTCGCTGAAATATAATTCCTAAAAGTGAGTTAAAAGTTGGTTTCGCTCTTCCTCCCAGTAGTATAGAGGACCAGATTTGCCAAATCGAAAAATAAATAAAATTAAAAAATAAATGGCTCAGTACATTAATCAATAAATAAAAAAACTAAATAAAAACTAAAGTATATATTGCTTATTGTGATCGTAATTATACACATTTCCTTTTTTTTTTGCAGTTATATATTTCTCAATTCATTTATTTCTGTATTATTTATTGTTTTATTAATGCCATTTTTATATTTTTTTATATCTATATTTTTAACAATTGTTCGCTTTATTCATTGATTCATGTATTAATTTTTTTTTTTCATTAATTTATTTATTTTTTCATTAATTCATTTATTTATTTCTGTATTTCTTCGTTCATATGATAATGAGGGGGCGTGTTTTCACGTTCAGGCTTAGCAATCAAGACCAGGAGGAGAAGAGCTGATTAAACTGTTCTTTCACTCCATAAAGAACTGCACGGACAGACAAACCTGCCGATAAACAACTGTCGATGGCTTCCACAGGCAGTATGTGAGAAGGGCGTCCAAATGTCTGAGTTTGATCTGAATTTTACAGAAAAAGACGATGAACCACCTCCTTCAAAGTTCTGAACACTACGTGGTCGACCTCTGAATCAGCAGAGGCAGCAAAATGGAGCAAACTGTCCCCCCAGCCTCCACACAGAAGAGTACATAATCCGGACCTTCATTTTCAGTCAGATCAGCCGAGACTCTCAGATCTCTGACTGTCTGCTGCTGTAAGAAGCCATTACGGTACTGTCGTGTCCTTAGTTACAGCTGAGAGAGCAAGACATGTACAATCGATCTACAGAAACTGACATCGACCAACCAATAGGAATATTAAGATGCTGTGACATCATTCACTGACAGCCCCTTTATTAGCATAAGGACAAGGAAATACAAAAAGAAATAGAGAAATAAATAAATATAAAAATTAATAGTTATGGAAATAAATAAATAAAATAAATTAATAGAAAAACAGAAAAATGTTAATAAAGAAACATATAAATAATAAAAAAATAAATACAAAAATTAGTGAGAAGGGGAAATTACGAAATAGACATAAATAAATGCAGACATATTCATTTATGTAGATTTATCATCATTATTCTTTGCAATTCTACTTCATATATTAATTTACTAAGTCATTTATTTTTAATTTTATTTATTTTTCAATTTGGCAAATCTGGTCCTCCATACAGTAGGGGGTGATATAATAACTGCAGAGGCTCTGTCTCTGAACTCAGCGCAGCGGATGAGCTTCTGGTTTTTACCTCCGCGCAGGAGAGCCGAGCAGCAGAGGCGGGCTGGCGGCCGATCTGACTGGGGTACAGCGGGCCTGTTAGTGTGCTGCTCTTTGGCTGTTAGGAAGATCTGATGTTGCAGTATTATTTTTAGGATATCTGGATTCGTTTCGTGCCGACCTGGAGGACTCTGAGTGACAGAAGCCCGTATTTGTCTGACTCTCCCTGCGGTCATTGGCGGCGCAGATGGCGGCCACCGTCGAGGAGCTGTACCGTAACTACGGGATCCTCGCAGACGCCAAAGAGGATCTCAGCCAGGTCTGGACTTCAGATAAACCCCATCCACCGCGGGGTTGCACTGATACATAACACAGCGCTCAGCCGCGATCAGTAGTCAACCGACTCTGCAGCGCCTTATAATGCGCTATAGACAGCTCGTTACTGTCGAGGCCTGCAGCTGCTAGCTCGGCTAAGCTAAGCTAGCTGTTTGTTAGCCGCCGTGTAGCCTGTAGTCCGGACAGGTGGCCGAGCTGAGATGAAGGGTTTAGTGACCCAGCCTCAGGGTTAAAGGTGTTCACCTATCCACCATCACATGCAGCAAACTGGCTTCCTGTTCTGATAGCAAATAATAAAGATTATTTGTCTGCGGCGTCGTTATCATAGCAGAGACAGGGCTGCTTCAGCTACTCACATCCACAGATGTCACGGCTGTTTGGTGGCGCTGTTTTACAATGTGTGTCGTTGAACTGTTGTGTTGATTTCTTTAAATTGAGGGAAAATCAGCTGAGGTGGGTTGTCGGTTTGTTGGCCGCATAGTTCATTTTAAAGAGAGCATAAGTAATCCAGTCTGAATGGCCTGTATTGAATAGACATCACTGTACTCGTAAATATTTAAAGTATTTTTTCAGTTCGAGCAGTCCGAGTTTTTTCCAACTTGTCAGATGGGTCAGTTCCAACTTGTCAAACCCCAGGAAACAACTAAATATTGTGATACATATTGTGTATCGTGATATCACCCAACCTAACAGTAGCATGAGGGGTATATATGAACAATATGCTGTTGTAAGTAAATAGTCAATATGTTAAGCAACCTGTGATGATCATGAAATGTTTATATTTTACTATGTGAAAATACGTTTTAATGTATAAATGTTTAGAAAAATTAGTGTGTTTTCACAATTTTTAATTTTATATTTACTGTACAACATTGCTGATAATATACTACTCATTAGGGGTGGGTGATATGGCAAAAATATCATGATACTTGGTCTTTTTTTTACGCTACACATGTATCACTGTATTTTATCACAGGTGCAGTGCTCCAGCAGTGCCATATTTAAAACTGCATCAAAAACTCTGGACACAGTGATTTTATTCAGAGTGCACGTACTGCACTGTGCTGTGTCCAGTTAAATAGGACTAACTACGCTGTCTTAATCAAACATGCAGTTGGTGAGAGTTCTTTAAAGGGGAATTCCGTCACTTAATCGTGGAAATGTAAACAAAGTCATTCGGGGTGTTTCTATGTGAAGGTGGTTTATTGTAGAGAAACTTAGTAACTGATTTTTTACAGTGGTGTTGATGGGAACCAGGGATCACAATGTTTACCACACAAAGAAAGCTATTTTATTTTCTATTCTAAATATAAAAACAAACCTCCAAAGTGTTTTAAAGCATCCAGAAGCTCCCAAACAGAAAATTATTGCATGAAATGGTGTGGGTTAAGTGTGGGTTTTTATCTGAGTTTTATGTGTGGTTTCAGCATAAAGACGCCTACCAGGTTATTCTGGATGGTGTGAAAGGAGGTCCAAAGGAGAAGCGACTGGCTGCACAGTTCATTCCAAAATTCTTCAGCAGTTTTCCAGAACTAGCAGACGCAGCCATTAATGCACAGTTGGACTTGTGTGAAGATGAAGATGTCTCGGTAAGACATTATTGGCTGAATTTGTGTCTGTTTTGACTCAATTTACTAGAAGGACAGTAGTCACTAATTGTTGTGGCAACAAATGTTATAGTCTTATTCTTTCTAATCTTTGCAGATTCGAAGGCAGGCCATTAAAGAACTCCCACGCTTTGCTGCTGGAGAAAATTTACCCAGAGTAGCAGACATTCTCACACAGCTACTGCAGACAGGTATTGCACAGAATTACAGTGGTAACATAAAACAACCATGCCGTAAAGCTCTGTGTTCAAAACATATTCTAGGCACTGTATTACATACACTAGACTACATTAGACTACTAAACTTTTTGTTCTTTTTCCCTGTTTTTTTGGGATAACGTGTATTTTTTTGGGTGCTTGTTTACTCATCCTTTTAATTTTTCCCTATATCCAGATGATTCGGCAGAATTCAATCAAGTAAACAGTGCGTTGATCTCCATATTCAAAATTGATCCAAAAGGTAAATTTCTCTCTAAAGCATATTTAATTAGTGTTCATTTATCATGTGTATTAACTGGTATGTCAACTTGGCCATATTCTTTTTTTTTCTAAGGGACTCTTGGAGGCCTGTTTAGCCAGATTCTGCAAGGTGAGGATGTTGTACGAGAACGGGCAATAAAATTTCTCTCCACAAAGTTGAAGACAATGCCAGATGACATTATGACCAAGGAGGTAGAGGACTACATCTTCACAGAAACTAAGAAGGTAACCTGATTTGCTCTGATTTTCATTGACCAACTGACATTTTAAGTAGGCCAATCTAGACAAGGAGGTGCTATAGTTGAATTTGTGGTTTGGCTGCTTAGATGCACAAGGAGGGAGGGAAAAATTAGTGTAACATTTTCGAACATCATAGCGGTTTTGTGTTGTCAACATATCACCAAATTAATTACATCAGTGAAATTCCAGACAAGGAAAAACTGAAAAAAATGAAACTGAGGAGGCCATTGGGTCTTTAGGGCAGGGTAGTTGAAAAACACTGCTTTAGCACTAAACTACTTTCTACATTTTTTAACTGGCAGCTGTAGAGTCAAATGAAAAGTGTGATAGGCCTGCTTAATCAGAGCTGATACAGTTAACTTTGCAAATGAAATGCAGAACACTTGATCGCATGTTTTTGTTTGGTTTTTTTGTTTGTGTAGTGTTGTTGTTGTTGGCAAGGTTTTCACATCCATAAATTACCTTCACTTGTGGTGCAGGTACTGGAGGATGTGACCGGAGAGGAATTTGTGCTACTGATGCGAGTGCTGTCTGGCCTGAAGTACTTGCAAACAGTGAGTGGGAGGCAGCAGCTTGTGGAACTTGTAGTGGAACAGGCCTTCCTGGAGCAGGCCCTCAACCCTGCTGACACAGACAGTGTGGATCGTCTCCTGCAGTGCACACGCCAGGCACTGCCACTCTTCTCGGTGTGTTGGACCACAGAGATCACTGGGTTATCTCTCATGCTGACTTTTTCATCTCTATATATCAGAGCATATTTCTCACAAAATGGCGGTTTCTCTTTATGTAGAAATGTTTGAATTTTGCATTATTTTTCCACAGAAAAATGTGCATTCCACTCGATTTGTGACATACTTCTGTGAACATGTTCTACCTAACCTCAGCATGCTCACCAGCCCTGTGGCAGAGCTGGACATCCAGCTTGAAGTGAGTGACCTTTAAATTGCTGTAAAATCAGGAAATTTTCAACCACTTGAAATGACCAGAAAATGGTGAATGATGTTAACTATTATTAATGAAGTATTATATGTCAAATGTTTTACAGTGGCTTTGATCGATGCTCAGCTAATCAGATTTTAGAACCTGAACTATACGTTTTTTAATTTTTTACTTATTTGTGCAGTCACATGTTTTCTGTCAGAAATGTGAAGGTTTGGGTAGCTTTAATGAAAATCACTCCTTTCTCTAACAGACATTCTGACCCATTATCATTCTCCTTTTAGGTCCTAAAGTTGTTGGCTGAGATGAGTCCATACTGTGGTGACATGGACAAACTGGAGGCCAACCTAACAATGCTTTTTGAAAAGCTATTGGTAAAATCTCATTGTGCTGTAAAAGTTGTTTAGCTTTTTGGAAATAAAGGAGCTTGAAGTAATATGTGAGCTTTGCTAAAGTTTCAAAATGTGCCAATAACTACCTGCTCCATATATGGGAAGTTTGCTGCAAAAACAGCCTGTTCTGAATTCATTGTTTTTGTGTTGTTGCAAAAACCATCCCATTTACCTATCCACCTATTCAGCCTACAGCAGTTTACTGAATTCACCCAATCATATTGAAGTTTAAAGGAGAGTTTCAGTTCTAAATGTTTTTTGAATGAGGCACAATACAGGTCAGCCAATTGGAACAGAGCTTATAATTATATGTCTGTCTTAAAGGCACAGAAACAAAAACATGCCCATTCATTCTAAGGAATGAAGAGAGTCTGGAAAATAGTGATGTAAAGATTAATCATGACCATTTTTGGTACATAAAGTCACACAGATATTTTAAGTTGACCTTAGGGATAACAGAAAAAAAACAAAAAAATTATGGTTCAGGCCCTTTAACAGAAAAACATTAAGATTAACTTGCAAGCTCTTCAGTTTTCTTTGTATGGAGAATGATTAAAGTTTTCTTTTCTCTGTGCTGTTTAGGAATTCATGCCCCTGCCTCCTGAGGAAGAGAATGGGGAGAATGCTGTGAGTGAAGAACCCAAGCTACAGTTCAGCTATGTGGAGTGCTTGCTTTTCAGCTTCCACCAACTTGGCAAAAAGTTACCAGACTTCCTCATCGACAAGATCAATGCTGAGAAGTTAAAGGACTTCAAGATCAGGCAAGTATCTCTTTGTCATCACACATCTTTGTTTTTCATGAGCTAACGCCTAAGTCATTGCTATAGCTGATTATCACAACCCCTTCTAAAGCAATTGTTTGCAGGGGGGTTGAGGACTGGAGTTAAAAAGTTACCTTAAAACAGTCTGATTTGGTGCAGGTACAGTGGGGTGCAGTGGCAAAGCAACATATGGTAATTATACTCTTTTCATTGGGTCTGCAGGCTACAGTACTTTGCACGAGGACTGCAAGTATACATTCGGCAACTCCGTGTGGCATTGCAAGGCAAAACTGGTGACGCACTAAAGACTGAGGAGGTATGGTCATGTGATTGTTCGTGTCAAACCTCATCTGTGAATGTTGCTAAATTAAAGTATGCTAGGTTCTAACATATGACTAATCTTAGTCAGGATTATTGCTATGTTTTGCTGTGATTACAGCTTTTTTTAAACATGGTTATTGTTCTGATATGTCTTTAGAATAAAATCAAGGTTGTGGCTTTGAAAATCACCAACAACATCAATGTCCTTATTAAGGTAACGTTTGAATTATTTGAATTCTCACAAAAGTATTGAGAATTATAGGACAACTGCCGTTCTTTGTGAGTTTAAATAATATCTGCACTGGATAATGTTCACTTGTTAACTTTTGCTGGTGCTTCCAGGATCTCTTCCATAACCCTCCATCATACAAAAGCACAGTCACTCTGTCCTGGAAACCAGTGCAGAAGACTGAGGCGGCAGCTGTGGTGGGGTAAGTCTTATACCAGCCATTGAACCTTTTAAATGTTCAGCGTTCTTTGTTGGTACATCTTTTTATTGGTTAGTGATGCATCTTTGTCTGAGACCCCTGTTGTGCATCTTGTAGTCAGAAACGCTCATCTGGAGAAGACACTGGTACAGGAACACTTGGCAAAAAGGTTTCTCCATTGCCGAGGAGAGATGCACGGCAGATTTACAACCCTCCGAGTGGAAAATACAGCGCTACCATCGGAAATTTCTCTTATGGTGAGTTTGATAAATGAAGATAAAGATGAAATCTTATCTTTAAGAATCTTATCTTGGCTGGCTTCCCCTTCACTACATTCCTTTGTAGAGTGTCTGTCCAGATGTTTAAGGCCTTTCCTCTCAGTTAACTTGATCTTGAAAACCTTTTTTTAGTGACCTGTAATGAGCAGCACAAGGCTCAGCCACACGTTGATCCTGAATTTAGGGTACACTACTTAACTGCTAAACAGCACTGCCTTAATGATAAGTAACGTCTGATGCACTGACTTTATATTTACAAACCCAATTCCAAAAAAGCTGGGACAGTGTGTGATTAGCAAATAATAACATAAAACAGTAATTTTCGGGCATCTTCTTCTTTTATAAGCAAGAATGGTCGTGGCTCACAACTTTGCCAAAAAAACATCAGCAAATAGTCGAACTATCTAAGAACAGCGTGTGACAAACTGCTGTCGAGAAACACAGTTTATTACTGCATCAACAAATGCAAGTTATACTGTACTATGAAGAGTGGAACGAATATATATAAACAAAATCCAGAAACGCCACCAGCCTGGACTCAAATACTGATACTTGAACCTGAAATGGACTGATGCTCAGTAGAAATGAGTTGGTCTTTCAGATTGTTTATGGAAATAATGCATAACGTGTTGTATGGGCCAAAGCAGAGCATCTGTCATGTTATGGAGGTGTATTAGTGCCCATGACATGGGGAACAACCCTCAAAGACAAATATACAAGTGCTGCCTTGTAGATGCTTTCTTTTTCCCTAAATCGACCGACGTTTCTCAATGTCAACAATGTGACAGTGAGCTATTGCTACCTAAAGTGAAGGCATCCAGTTGTGGTGTTCATCTTCAAGGCTGTTGTCAAACAAGGGGGCAAAGTGAGCCAAACAACCAATAAACCACAACATACCAGAGTAAATACATCTAAAGCAGTAACACTAGGTAGTGGATGAGAATCAGAAGATTGTGAGTTGTGTGAGGAGTGTGAAGTGTTGAATTATGTGTTTGCAGAGCAAAGAGGTGGATTCAGAGGTGGCCGGGGGCGAGGCTTTGGAGGAAGAGGAAACAGAAGTCGAGGCCGGATCTACTGAAGGGGGGCTGCTACATTTTTACATCCACACACACAGACACACCTGCAGGACTGCCACATGCCAACATCTCCACTGTTCTGAAAACATCAGCCCTGTTAGTCTCCCCACTCACCGCTGTGCTCTGTCTCCATGATTTTGCTCCTCCAGTTTGTCGTTTTTCCTTTCAGAATGTAGTTAGGGATATTCAGCAGCATTTTCCCCTCACAGCAGCACAGCATTTGGTTTTTTTCTTCTTTGTGGAACAAACACTGCAGAGGTTGTAATTTTGATTTTTTTTGTATGGTGACACATCCTTTGTACTTTTTTTTAACCTTAGTTTTTCCAACGCTTTTGTTGGAAAAATTGTCTTCACATGAGTTTGTAAGATACAACTGTTTTCCTTTCGCATTTTATGATAAACTAGTCCCAGTCAAATTGTTTGTCATTGTTTGGTAATTTTTGGAAATAGTCATTTAAGTTTGTATCAGATCTCTTTGTGCCCTGTGTTTGGGCTTTGCTTTTGGTATGTAAAGAAAATGGTATTTTTAGTGATGTACAACTGAATGGCCATCTTTGCAGATAATAGCTTCCCTAATGTGCATCCAGTACAGAAATTTCAGTAACTGAATTGTTAATTTTTCAGACTTTTTACATCATTTTTGGAGTTTTGGTTTTGGACCATCTTTTTGCATGCATATTTTACAGCAGTTTGAAAAGTTATTTAAGTGTTTTGGATTAAAAAAAAGTCAAAGAATTTTTGTAGTACTAATTTGTATAAACTTTATTCATTGCAATCAAGCTGATTTCAGCTGAGTTGATGTTAAAATGTCTGTCTAGTTCTGCATAGTATTAGCATAAAGAGTGCTGAACTTTAGTTAAGCACTGTTTAGCTACAGGTAAGGTGAGTGTTAAAGGTGACACTGTTGCTTAGTGATTAGCGCTGCTTACTTACAAAGACTCAGTACCTGACTGTAATATCATACTCACAGCCCACTCATTTGTATTTTTTTCTACTCTGAGTATTAAGGGGGAAAAAACGAATTAATTCCAAAACTGATATGTGGATTTTAGTAAGTGGGGAGGGTTATGCTTGAAGTATTTTCCTGCATCTAATTTTAAAGAATATACTTAGATATGTAATTGTCAGATTGAGCTAGAGTAGTATGGCTGTTTATCCCTCTGAATTAGACTGGTGATAAAATATTTGTGCCAGATATTTAAAACTGACATCTCCGTTTTTCCTTCAAACTGTTATGTAAACATCTTTAGGTTTGTCGCTGTCATGCTGCATAGCCCAGTTCATGATCATGATCTGTGGTCCTGGAGATCTGCTTTCTTGTTGAATCTAGTTCTGACTACAGTCTGCTGCATCTGCTCTAGCTAATTAACTTCTTTAGAAGGTGTTGATTGACTGGGTCAGTTGTAGTGTTAGGTTAAGGAGGGGCAGAATGTTAAGATGTGGGTTGGAACTGAATTCTGCAGGAATGTAGATGTCCAGGAGGAGAGCTGGTGACCACTGATGGAAACCCTTTGATACTGAGCTTTTTCCTTCAGAGGATGCTGGTGATGACACTTCAGCACTATGCGCAACCATGTCCGTGTCTTTGTAACTATTGAAGGCTGCCGATTATCAGTGACCCCACATATCCTTAAAAGCAAATGAGTACATTTTCAGTTCAATTAGTATCAAGTGTTCTTGAACCTCAGAAGTAAGCAATGAGGCAAAGTCAGATCCCTTAAAGTTGTTTTAGGGCAGGGGTGTCAAAATTCTAGTCCTAAACGGCTACGGTAGTGCAGTTCAATGTTTGTCTTGTTCTAAAACACTGAAATTAAAAAGCCAAGCCAAAAAATGGACTTCTGTCGTCTACGTTGCTCGGACTAGTCAAAAAAAGGTCACAAATCTGTGTTTTTCAAGTGTTCTGTATTATATAGAGTTAAAAAAAAAATACCTCCGGGGTGGGAGGAAGACCACGCCTGACACTTCAGCTTCCTCCCGGGGCCTGGCCTTCTAGCATTAAGTGGAAGCCACTGAAAAACTCTGCCCCAGGTTCTCAGAGTCCTCTCCCTTACAGTCTCACAATCTCTCCTTATACCACAACCACATGTTGATGACGGTATGGTCTGAACTTGCAAACTTGAATGAAGTGCCCAATTTCTGCCATTAGGGTGCTAGTCCACATGTATTAATGGCAAACTTGCACTGCACCTCCATGTTCTAGAGTTTCTTAATGTTTTTATGCTTTGCTGTAAAAAGTATTTTGGCAGGACAAATTATCCTAACAAGTCACTGCTGTCGTCTGGACAACATGGCATTGCCAGGTCAGAGCCTAGCACGAGACTTTTCACATTTAACTAGCTTTCTCGTCTTTGAGAGGATAACTTGCTGAATTTAGGCCTCTGCCCTTTCCCAGTTTGCTTTGTCTTAGAACACTGTACCCCAAGGCCAGGTTCAGATAAAGTAACATTGTAAACATTGCTACTCGCCTATATAGCGGAGCTGCAGTCTCTAGAATGAGATTTTACAGTTTAAAGACCAGAAAAATATCTTCTGATGTTGTATCTTGAAGGTGGGAGGAACTTTTGAAAAACTACAAATGTTTTAGGGTGGATACTTGAGGTTGGAATTGTTTTTTCCCCACTAGCTGACTAATGCAGAAGGAAGCTTGATAGCTAACCAACTGCTAGAAAGCCAAGTCTAATGCCTGTATTGATTAGCCACTAAATCAGTGGCTAAAGCAGCAGTCAGGATTTCTGTATTGCCTTGGGTGAATTCCCAAAAAGGTGTACGAAGTTGTGAATTCTGTCAAACCGATGAGGCTGATGGTTTTACATAAAACAAATAACACATTAAATGGTAGTTTGGGGTCGGAACATCCCTTTTAATAAGGGATTAAAGGACTAGTCTGCAGTTTTCTCAGAATACATGCTTGAAGGTCCCTTTAATTATGCCTGCTGTAGTTCTGGGGAGCAAAAACCTTTTCACAACACCAAGCATGGAACATATGTTAAACTATTTGGTGCACAGAGTTTTAAATAAATATTATGTTGAAATCTGATGCATTCAAATGCGTATGACATACTGAAGCAGCATAAAGAAAATGTTTATATCTTTATGAAGATGTGTGATTTATCCGATTTAGTGTAGAGGACAGAAACGTGGCCTCCTTCCTGACGTGGCCCAGTCATGACCCCCAATATTATGTTCAGACAAAAGAGTTTCATCAAAAAAGATGTGCTGCTCACACCACTAGATGGCCACCTAGGCCCACGAACCGCACATCGTCTCTCTTTTGTTGGTAAGAAAACATTTTTTTAAAACGAAACTGTGCTTCGTTCCTCCTTTTCACGCTGGTTTTGACTGGCTTTCAGAGTTCGACGTGTTTCATCTGCCTTTAAGGGCGTGTGTCAGTCACGGAGACGGTGCACACGATTAACCAGCGCGCTAGTTTTGTCTCCTGGTTTTATCTGTATTCACCTCATAACTCGCCGATTTGTGTTTCTTGCTTCAACTCTTTCTTTATCCATTTTCCCTCTATTTACAGGACCTCCTGTGTGTAATTCGTGTTTTAAACTGTGTCCGTGTGGAGAGTTTGTGTGCTGTAGGTGGCGCTGTTGTCCTGCTAGTCTTTCCCCTTCGGCGCTCGTGACAAAGGTATTTCCCAGACCAGGCGGCTGCAGTCTTCTGCGCATGCGTGATTGTGGAGCGCCGAGAAAAGAAGCTCATGTTTTAGTCACATTCACGCTGATATATTAGATACAAATCACGAGAATCCTCAAAACCTGCGTCGTGACGCTAGTTTGGCGGAGACTGGGGTTTTCTCTGGATTAAAAAAGAGTTCATTTTAATCAAAATGTCTCTCGTAGACACCCCCCTCATGAAAGACGGTGTAAAACAAGCGTTTATTAACCTGGCTGAACTCGCGCTGCTGATTTATGGCTGTTCTCAGTACAGATGAGTGAACTTAGAGCATAACAGTGACTCCTAGCATGGACTCCATCTTCAGCATTCACAAACTGTACTGTTAATGAGTGAAAACCCGCTCAGATAAATATGTCTAGAGCCACAGATAAAGTGGGTGTACTACTTAACAGTAGCCTCAGTCTGGCTTTCCAGAAGACATTTACCGAAACGAGGAGATTAACAGAACACGGTGCTCTGCTGCAGCCACGTTCATACACTTCAACAGGTATTTGAAATGACTGCTTGTTCTTTGAACGCCTTGATTTCATACATGTGGTCAAATTCAAGCATTTTGTGAAGTCGAAATGGAAAGAAAATATTGAATAATACAGAATATTGAGCAGCTCCTGTTCACCGTTTCATTGTTGCTGCAGCCCAGCAAAAGAAAAAAAAAGAATAGATATGTGTTTTTTTAAGAGCTGTGAGGGAAAGAGTGTTATCCTCTTTTTCATGAACGAGTAGCATCCGCCCCCTCATGTACAATGCCTGGAATAGTAACAGCACTGGGAGGCTTACTAAATATAGCAACCAGGGAGTGTTAACATGTCAACCAGGAACCAGAAAGAAGTGCTCTCCCACACGTGTGGCCGTTGGGGCAACACATAGAATGCTGCAATTATGTGACACATGCTTATCCGGTATAAAATAAAAAATAATAATAATATAGATTCACGGGAGTGGTGGAGAAGATACAGGAGCTATACGCTCCTGCTCTGGTTGAGTGCGTTGCAGTAGAGCGATTCATATATATTCAGAGATGTATAGCAATGATGCTGTTCGTTGTTCCCTGTCAAAGGTGCAGATGAGCAGGATGGGCTGGTGACCATTTGGATGGTTGCTGTTGCCTATCTTGAACGCAAAGCTGTAACAGGATGGATGTTCTCAATCGAAGACGTGTGCGCGCGCGTGAGCGTGTGAGTGTTTTAAAGGAGGGGTAGACTTAGACTTGTTACGCAATAGGCCTGCATGTGAATGGAGGGAGCAGGTTGGTTTAATTGAGGAGGACCGCACAGCACTGGCACAGCACACGGGATTCGCGATAGGAACGAGTTACGGGGTCTACTAGGGGATTGCTGTTCTTGTTTTCTTGTTTTTAATAAGTGATGATTGTCGAATGAACATCTCGAGTTTGTACCATGGAGTGGCGAATGAATGAATGAATGAATGAATAATGAACAGGGGGCACCAGTGCATCGTGACACTGTGACATCACAATGCAAAACTGGCGATCACACATTGAATGACACAATGAATCATGGCGAATGGACATTCTGTATTAATTATGACACCTAATACAGTTACATTGTTTTAACACCAAAGTTTGCAAGCGATCAGCACCAATAATCACCAGCTAACTGCAGCAATGCTCCTGCCTCTGTGGTGCTCTGATGTAGTGAGTTCAGTTTTTCTCCGTTCGAATTTTGTACAAAGTATCGAAGTATCGGGAATCGAATCGAATTCTGGACTGAGTTTATTGTTACGCCTCTGATAATGAATGAATGAATGAAACACGAGGGGTAAAACGCTTACAAAGAAAATAAAGAAAGGAAAAGAAATGAAAGAAGGACTTTAAAAAGTGACTCTAGGTGGACTCAGCCTTTCAGTATCACTTTCCAACCCAAAACTTAACATGTTACGGAGAGAGAACATCATGTGACAGCAGTCTGCCCGTTCATAAATATTCACCGTCTCTATTCATGCAGACTCCTCTCTTGAGGTAGTTATTGTGCCTCGGCTCTGA